TCTTGTTTCACAAGATTATGAGAGTTTCACCAAAGTTCTAATTTTAGAATAGTAAGAGACGTCATTTGAGTGTTGAAGAAGAGTCATAGTAGTGAATAATGGAGTAAAGGTTGTTTTGTGATAGGTGGATGAAGAAACTTGGGCTGCTAAAGGAGAAAATAGGCAAAACCAAGGTTGGAAATAGTTAGTAAGTACTGGACATCAATAGATCATGGGCTTACAAGGTACTGAGCAGAAAGAGGTGGAGAAGATGAATGATTCTGAAGGAGGTCAAATGCATCCATCAAGACTTGGAAAAAGAAACAAAGCAGACTGATGACAAGGTTGAGCAAGTGGTAAATGGATGAGTTGATCCATGACTGAAACCCAGTCTTGGAGGTGGTGCTGAGGAATTGATGGAGATGTCATTGCAGTTACCAGTTACCCAGTATGAAAAAAGGAGACTTGAGTAGAGGAAAAGTTCAGTCAGCATTATTTTCGTGTTTATTTTCCTCCATCTGTGTAAGCTTTGAAATATTACATGTGTCCTATCTATAGGCTCTGAACTTTTGCCATGTCCATAATGTAATAGATAGAGTTCAAGAATTGTTTGATTCATAATGCTTTTTCCTTCTTTGAGTATTCACTTATGTGGATTTAGATTTATATATCTAGATATATATTTAAGGAGAATGAAGACAGTGAGATAAGTTGGTAAACTGCCTGCAGTTTTCTCTTCTTATATTAAACGTGAACATACTGAATGCTAGAGCTGTCATCATCACACAATCAAAGTTGAAGCAGCATTGTGGAGCTGTAAGCTCAGGAGCTAATCTTTTTGAGGGCTTAAAGAAATTAGATGAATAAATCTGATCCTGGAATAAAATACCCTCTTTATATGGAGGGGTGGGATTTATTCATTATATGCAGCCTTCTTCCCATATGATGAATGGAGAGGCAAGGTTGATTTGGCTTCTTATTTAAAAAAAAAATTTCTTTATCTGAAACACAGAGGAAATTTTGTTAACAAGGTTTGTCCACAAGTGTCATTTGGCTACAGGAAAAGAGAACTGATTCAAAAGGCTCTCTTCTCCTGGGATTCTATTTCAGGGACTCTTCAGAGACTTTAAAAAGGGATGTAATGGTGAATTGGCATCTTTCCTTACTCTACTCTAGTGTTGTTTCATCTTTTCTCTTTTCTATATTTCTACTTTACAGAGGGTAGATATAATTTGAATAATTTTATTTTCAGTGTGCAATTAGCATATCAATATAATTGGCCCTATGGTTTTTCTCCCAGACAGAGCCAGAAAGGAGCAGTTCACTTCATGTTTCTTTATGAGTTCCATAGTTAGTATCCTAAAACTGGGCCTGGGAATTGTCTCAGTCTTGCCAAAACCCACCACTCTGTAACTGCTTGTGCCCCATGATCTCCTGTGCCACAGCTGTGATTGACCTCCTTGAAGTCTTAACATTCATTCCTGTGAATTCTAACTGCTTTTAATTTTTTAAGTACACAAAAGAAAGGGATTCGGTGGGGCAAGTTAGTAAGGGCAAAATTTTAAAATATACAGCAGTTTATCCTGCAATGAAAGCCAGTGCCTGGCAAATAAAATTATAGCAGCCATAAAAGAAAAATGTCCCAGTCTACAAAGCTAATGATCTCTTTGGTAATTAAGATACAAAACTAATGTAAACACTGCAATTCCTAACACATAGCAGAGCTGGTGGATTGGTTTTGTCTGTTCTGTTTTCTTTCCTAGTGAACAGATAATAAGTTCATGGTTTAAGTTGAGAATAAACTGTATTACAACATAAAGTTCTTAATTATTTGACCATTTGGAGCACAATTAAATATCTCTTAAAATTCATTGGCAGTTTAGTTAGCATTCCCGAGTTTCAAATGAAAACCTGAATGATATTTTAAATCTAATTTACTTAAACAGCCAAAACAAATCTTGCCGTGGCTGTGAGCACTTAACAAAATTAATCTCCACTTGTGCTTTTTATAAATTGGGAAAACCAACTGGTTTCAACCCTTTATTTAAACCTGGATTTCTTTCAGTGGTAGTGGACAGAGACCTTGTTGAATAGCTATTATTATCTTGAAATACAGTAATTTTTATTCAAAAGCATGCTTGCTGCTGATTAAAAAAAAAAAAAAAAGTGAAAAAACCTACTAAAAGTTTAAGAGAACAGAAGATATGGCAGTATTTTTTTTGTTTAGATTTTCTTTCCTGCAAGTATTTGTGCACACTTTTCAGCTGGAAATTTAGATGATCAGTAGGCACTTTCAGTTAATTGACTCTCATGATTAAATAGTGAGACCATCTTTTTTCATCCAGCTTCTATTTATTCTGCATTGTCCATCTGGAGTTATAAAAGGAAAAGAAACAAAATGTTCTGAAATGTGTTCATAGGCATGTATTCGTGATTTGGTATATTTTTGTCATAATAGCCCATTTTGATGTTACCTGATTACAGGAGAGATATGCGTTGGCATCTATCTATAATTTGATTTTATCCTGATCCCATTTCCTGCAGGCTTATATTTCAAACTGTATGTCAAACTGTGTATGCAGCAAAGCTGTCTGGCAGCAAAGTCAATTGAGCCAAGTAGGTATTTGCTACCAGATAATTTGATCCTTTACCTTCTGCACCTTTTTGAACCCTTATCCTACTTTGCTATCACTTACACCTCTCAAGGCAATGTGAAAGTCATTCCATGAACATTAGTAAAAAACAAAACCTATCTGAAGACTGAGGGAGCTATATAAATGCATACTGTATTTATTTTTAAAGAGCAATGAAATGAAAAACCCCTGAAAGATGAGGGGCCATATTTTTTTGTCTGTAAAATGCTGACCAGTTTTCTTGGTGATGGATGAATTTATTTGAATACAGAAAAAAGAGAGTATGATAATAATGTAACTCCACCCAAGATAGTATAAATATGTCAATATACTAATATACTAGCAGTTTGACCCTACTAAATTCAAAATTCAGCATTTAAATAGTTTCTGTGTTTAATACAGAGACATTAGACAGTTTGGTCCCATACCAAAGCTATATAGGATGAAAGGGAAAAAAGTGAAAATTGAAATCAGAATGCATAAGCAAAAAAAATTAATGCAAAAATTATATAAATATCTTTTTCAGGCTGAATATACTGGTTAGATTTGCTATTCTAGCCACTCACAAATAGAAGTCTGAATAGAATAGTCCTATCACTGAATTTTGAGTGGGCAAGTGTGAATGATGGTTATTTTTCCAATTTTGTCAAAGAAACCCATGGCAGAATATATTCTCAGTAAAAATGGCTATGACAGCCACAAACTGGCACCCTAATGTGGTACCCACAGTTGTAGTCAACAACTACTGCAATCTGTCCTCTACAACACCTCTCTTTATTTTCGATTATTTCACGGCTTGAGGCACCACCAGGCAAGTTGCTTTCCTTCTCTGCAGGAGCTGCCGCAGCCTGTTGTGCCAGCGCTGTGAAGTGCAGTGAGGCTCAGGGTCATTGTGAAATTGAGAGAGAGGGGGCAGAGAGGAAAAATAAGACGGCAGTCAGGAGGACAGAAGGGAAAATGGAACAAAATCTCATTTGTATCAGATAAGACTGTGTCGGTGCCCTGGTACAAATCAGAAATGTCTGGCTGTGCTTGGCTAGATGTCCAAGTGATCAGGGCTCACTAGCAGTAGGTAGAGTTTCTAGAGCACAACAGAGACTTGATGGTTTTTGCAAAGGATTATGTCATGAATTCTTACATTTTTTTTTTATTAAAAAAAAAGAAAAAAAGAAAAAAACCCAACGGGCTGAGGCAGGGAGGGGAAGAAAGGAGAGAGAGACTAGAATTTATTTTATACAGCCTTATTTCTGACATCCTTTCAGTGCACAGTTTTCTGATGTTTTTTATTCTGGTTTGTTGGTGAAGTTCCTAACGGACCTTGGATTTCATTGTCTGTTCTTTATGTCTGTGTTCACTTGGAGGTTTGTTGCCTTCTTGTGCCCTTTCTATCAGAATTCCATCTTACCCCTTAGCGTAACACTTTATCAACTGCTGCAGCTGAGATGGTAATTGAGATAAATCTATAGGCCCTAGCTACAGCACTAAGATACAGACACAGTGGGCATTCCCAGATGGTGACTGTCCATCAATTTCACATCAGTTTCTCTCACACAATTCTACTTTAGGGATTTTTCTGGCCAGATATTACCTGTTATGCCCATTTGAAAAAAGACACAGAATTTTTCCCGTGGTTCACCAGTGACTGGTTTTAGTGCTTGACCTGAGACATGATGAGGAAACATTTGTTTAAGACCTGCTAGTGGAAGATTTGCTGTTGTTTTAACTGAGCTAAGCAGTAGGCTGCATGGTTTCCATGCTATGTACCTCAGAGATAGCTTCAGTACCTGGAAATGCCCTGCTCAAAGAAGCTGAGTGAGGGTACTTCTGATGTACTCAGTAACTCATACGCTGCTTTGAAGCCATCTTTAGACATCCCTTATATCAGCCATTTCTAAATTCATTTGACCTTGACATCACCTTTCTTCAGTATACATGGGCAAGCACAGTTCTGCAGATGTAAGAGATCACATTAGAAATTTGTCATTTAAACTTTTTATTGTTGGAAGATTTATTTTTTTTTTTTACTTTGTATGTGAAAAAAAATGAAATATGTTTTCCCCATTAGGATAAATGTATAAATTTTTGAGCCATGTGTTTAAATTTTTTTTGCTTCCTGGTGAATTCCTTTTACTATTGGTTCAGTTGACATAACTACTACAGAGAGAGTAAATAATGACATTGTTTGTAGGAGTGTCAGAGAAGGCCACATCTGCATCTGTGGTTTTGTTTTTGCTTTTGCATTTCCATTTGTTTGCTCTGACACTTGCCTGGAGCCCCACACTTTTCTTTATAACCTTTACCTTTAGATTGCAAAGAAAGGTGAAAAGTCCTGTATCAAATATATTTACTGTATGTTCATTGTTTTAATTGTGATAACAATATCACAGAATTGTTAGGGCTGGAAGGGACCTCTGGAGATCACCCAGTCCAACTCCCCCACCAAGACAGGGGCATCCAGTGCAGGTTACACAGGAATGCATCCAGGTGGGTTTGGAATGTCTCCAGAGAGGGAGACTCCACAGCCTCCCTGGGCAGCCTGTTCCAGTGCTCTGCCATCCTCAGTTTAAAGTTGTTCCTCAAGCTGAACTGGAACTTCTTGTGTTTCATTTTGTGGCCATTGCTCCTCATCCTGTTGCTGGGCACCACTGAAAAGAGTCTGGCACCATTTTCCTGACATCTGCCTTTGAGATATTTATACACATTAATGAGATCCCCTGTGCCTTCTCTTCCTTACACTAAAGAGACCCAGCTCCATCACTTCCTAAGGCACTTGCTCCATACCCCTAATCATTTTTATGACCCTCCACTGGACCCTCTCCAGTATCATATTGTCTTTCTCGAACTGTGGAGACCAGAATTGAACGCAATACTCCAGATTTATCTTCACTACCTCACTAGGACCCAGTAGTGGGGAAGACCACCTCGCTTGACTTGTGGGCCATACTTTCCTGAAACGCTCCAGGATTCTGTTGGCCCTCCTGGCCTCCAGGGCACACTGCTGGCTCATGGTCAGCTTGTCATCCACCAAGACTCCCAGATCCTTCTCTGCAGAGCTGCTGTCTAGTAGGTCAACCCCCCACCTGTGCTGATACTTATGGTTATTTCTTCTACACTTGCCCTGGTTGAACCTCATTATTATCTCCACCCAACTCTCCAGATAACAAGGTACTACTGAATGGCAGCACAGCTTTCAGGTGTGTATCAGTCACTCCTCCCAGTTTCTTATTATGAGCAAAATTCCTCAGAGTGCATTCTATCCCTTTGTCCAGGTAATTGATAAACAAGTTGAATAAGACTGCAACAAGCTGAATAAAACTGGATGATGATGATCAGTTAGAGCTTTAGGTTGGATGGCTCAAAGCTTCTGCAACCAAAGAAGAGCTTTCTCTTTGTAGCACCATTTGCACAGAAGGCAAAGGTCACAGATCCCCACTGCCTGCGTGTGTTTGTGTCTTTGTGTTCCCTTTAAAACCTTTTGAACTTGTTGTATTTTAACTGAATGTGACAGAACTAGAGGACTCTAATTAATTAAATAATTAGATTTCCACAGATTTATAAATGTTTCAGTTGAACATCAAGGTCAATCAGTCAGAAGACACTTCTATAACAAATCATGTTTTATTAGTTCCAGTGATGTCAGAACTTACTGTTGTTTTTCATGCACCATTCAATGGCTTTGGTGCCAGAGGATGTATAAATGTGAATTTCACAAATGTGAAATCCATGACTTTTGAACAGTCCAGATTTTCAAATATATATAAAAGCAATTGATGTGGTGTTTGAGCACCCAATAAAATGTCAAATACCTAACAGGCGTTCATGTCTGGAAACTTTGGGTGTTAACAGTCTAAGCATTTTCAAAAGTCTCTGTGTATCTTTGAAAGCATGTGAGAGAACAAAGATATGTTTTCAGTCCAGTGATGTGCTCATTTTGAGGATATACTGAGCTCAAAATTCTGAATTCCTCTCTGATTCTCTGCAAAAAAGCATATGGACAAAGAAATTTTTTAAAAAAAGAAAAAACAAACAAACAAAAAAACCACACCACACCTTCAGATTTTTCAGTGGACTATCTGGAGACATCTTTATTTCCCGAGGTACATTATAAATATTTTACAAGTAAGGTGCAATAATCAGCTAAGCACATAAATCTGAGATAGTTGCTTAGGCTTTCCCAATGGTCAGCAGAAAGAGATAGGTGCTGCTGGAGGCTAATTCACCTACCCTAAGATAAGCACTGAAGTTAAGTAGAAAACTCTGCCCTGTGGACATTCCTGTCTCTTTTTGTAAGGCAGTCTAGAGGATTAGGTTAGATTAGACATTTATTATTTCTGTTACTAAAATTAGCCAAAATTAATCCCTCATCTAGTCTGTATATTGACATATTAATTTCTGTGAAGTAAAAATATTCCTCAATATGAAACAGGTAAGATCTGCCCCTTAATATTCCTTTAAATTGTCTGTTCTATTTCATATGAAATTCTTCAATATAGTTTTGCCATCATTCAAAAATGAGTACTTTAGGTATAGATTCTGAACGCTTATTTTTTTCAGAGCCTAAAGCAACTTCAAAACTTCCTAATCTGATTTAGAGCCCAGAGATTGATCTTGATCATGCAGGCATTTTTCCTACTGTATTTCCCATTGTTGGCATTAAAGTTTCGTTAATTGAGACCTCTTTGCCTTGACCACTCTATAATCATATTCATCACATCTCAGTGTCACTGAACTATTTATTTTTGTCATTGATAGATAAACAGTGCCAGTTCTGTGGGAGAGTTGAGCTGAAAAGGAATACTAAAGATGTCAATTTATCTATGTCCTCTGTAAATATATTCTGAAATTCTGCTGGGAATAATTCAGTCCTGTGTCTAATTAATCAGATATATTGTTTGTGAGGAGTTTATGTTGTTCTCCTAATCCACAAGAAAGCAACATGCCCTCTACAGGGAAGTCTGCAATTCATTATCTCCACTCATAAAGTAATGTCAAGCTTGACAATGTGGAAGAATTTATTTTTTTAAAAAATGGTATTAAATTTCCTTTTAAAATATCTCAGTACAAAACACTCCAGTAGCAATGAGCCTGCAAGCAGCTTACATGCTGCTTCTAAATAAAGCTTTTCTTCCAGCCTCCCTTTTTTCTCGCCTCATACACACAGGCACACACAGGACTCACTCTTGGCCGTTTCTGCCACTTTGTCTCTAGAAACAGACAATAGTCTGTCATCTTCATTGTAGGCTCTCAATGTTCTATTATACCAATGACAATTCAGGCACAGAACACTTCCAAGCTTGGCAAAGTCTGAAGTCCCCTCTCCTGCTTCCCACTCATTCACCATAAGTGTGTTGGAAGCATGAGAAAAGAAGGAATGCAGCTCATCTGGAAACTTGAGCAGCATTCATAGCCACCACTATGCCCCGGAGCAGCTGATCTGGCAATGCCACACTAACCACACTTTAAGGGACAGAGCTATAAACCTCTCAAATGTTCCCTTTCCTCCTCTGTACCAATAATCTTTTGCTTGTTATCAAGGAATTTTCAAGGACTAACACAACCAGTTTCCTTCCAAGACTAATATTTCTGAGTGGCTGGACAGGAAGAGCAACCTTCAGATTCTGCTAAACAAAGCAGTGGGTTTACCTTGGTTTTAGAGGTCATTGCAGTATCTTGCAAACCATCAAAAATAGAAAGGGGTTCCATATGTCACTGGAAAGTACATTTCTGGAAGAATTAAAGAAACTGGAAATCTACTTTTCTGGGGGTGGAAAAAAAAAAAAAGGAAAATTTTATTTACCCAATATTTTGTTTCTTTTTTACTATAATGTATAAAATAGAAATAAATGCCTTCTGTGTAAATCTACTATGAAAGTATTTTTATAACTACTGCTAATTCAAATTGGCTGAATTTAGTAAGGAAAAGAGCGTTCATTTTGAAGGATTGTTTTGGCTTTTTTAACAACTATTCCAAGACCTTCAGAGGTGTTGCAGATGTGAAAGGGAACTGGATTCTACTCCTGTTTTGTGCCGTAAGCCAGTATCCCTTGGTCAATTCAGCAAAGGACTACATAAACTTGGGGGAAAAGCTGGATGCAGTCATTTTCCACTGGGGTCAGTGGAAATCCTGAGCACATTTGCTCTGAAAACCACGGACAGTAGAGGCTGGTACCCAAAGCGGTGCACCAGACAGAAGCAGATGTGCATGGTTCTCTGCAGAGTTACATCTCTCCTGCTGACACATGGTGTTCCTGCCTATCAATTCCCAAGAGTTTACCTTCTCCTTACAGTACATCACAGTTTAAAAGGCACTTAAAGGGAACTATCAATGGTATCCAGAAATATAGCAAGCAAGGGTTTCAAGTTAAGTTGCAAACACCGGTGCATGCTCAGTCTACCAACTGTGCATTCAGAAATGCCATTTCATTCTTTTACATGATGTAGTATTGTTGAGAAATCAGATGCAAATAAACATTACTTTGGAAAAGATGGAGAGGGAGGACATTTTTGCATTCATTTAAATAAAAAGAAGTGAGTACAGCTGACAAGACTTTTTTTTTTCTTCACTGCTGGATGTGATATAATAAATCATCCTTGATGTTTCCCCCATTTTATTATCATTATCTGTGAACAAGCTAGAAGTAAGTTGATTCTTTATGAGCTATGACATTCATCTGAAAAACAAGACTAAAAAGTCAGTCTCCAGAGGAAAAAATTAAAATCATTAGGGAAATATGGTACAGAATGCCTAATCAAATGATTATATTGGATGAAGGAAAATCATGATTTGGCAATGAGGAATTTCCCTTTGTAGTCAGAATTAACTTGGTAATTATAATAAGTTATGGATTTTGCAATTATTATTTTTTAGAAATATAACTGTCCAAGAGAGTGGATTTCAAAACAACAGTGTTTTCAACATAAGAGAGAAAATTGTACTAAACTCCAGATTACTAAATAGAATTTAAGTTTATGTACACACAAAACATAATTGTAACTCTACAAGTAAGCTTAGTTTGCATCAGAAGCATAGTATTTACTGGTGAAAGCAGGGACATGTGACCTGGAAGAAATACAGAAAGACTGTACAAACAGGCAGGAACAGGGTTAGGAATATCAAAGCCTTCCTGTATTTGAATCTGGTAAGGGACATGACAGGCAACAAGAAGCAAAACCAAAACTGGGGCAAATGTGTTCCTGCTGCTGAATAGGGCAGAGTACCAGGTGATGAAAGATATGGGAAAGGATGAGGTACTGTATCTTCTTCACCTTGGTCTGTACTGGTAAGACTGTCCTCCAGCAATTCCAGGTCCCTGAAGCCAGTAGGAAGTCTGAAGAAACAAGGACTTACTCTCAGTGAAGGAGGATCAGGTAAGGGAATATTTAAACAGATGATAGAACAAGATAGGGCATACAGAAATATGGGTGCATCCCTAATGGGATGTACCCCTTAGTACTGAGGAAGCTGACCAGTCACTGCAAGAGCACTGCTGATTATATTTGAAAGGTCACAGCTGCCCAGAAAGGTTCCTAAGGACTGGCAGAAAGCAAATGTTACTCTCTAAGAAGAGAAAGGAGGAGGATCCAGGGAACTGCATGCTTGTCAGGCTCACTTCAGTCCTTGGGAAGATGATGGAGTGAAAAATCTTGAAAGCCATTACTAAGTGTATTAAGGACAAAAAGGTGATTGAAAATAGTCAGTATGGATTTATAAAGCAGAAATCATGCCTGATCATGCCTTTGTGAAATAACTAGCTTGGTGAATGAGAGGAGAGCAGGAGATGATGTATATCTTCACTTCAGCAAGGCTTTCCACACTGTCTCCAATATTATCCTTATAGACTAACTGAAGAAGTATGGATTAGATAGACTGTGAGGTGGATTGAAAACTTATTGAACTGTTGGTTAAAAGAGTTGTGATAAGTAGGTATACTCTCAATTTATACCTACAGTGAGACTGTAGGCATAACTGAAAGAACAAGATTTCAGTATGTGTGTACAACTGCAAAGAAGATTGGTTTTTCTCCTACTGCAAATATATCCCCAATTATGTTTCATTAATTTACAGAGTTATTATCTTTCACTATATAAATCACTTGACACCATACAATAATGTTGAAAGAACAACAATCATACTTCTCACATGGAAACAGGACTGCTTTGGAACGTTCCCATTAGATTTAATTTATGCATATCTGTTGTAAATTTTACTGAGTTGAGAAATATTCTCTTTGAAGTAGTGTATCTAGATCTAAGTTTTGTTACAAATGAGGTTAGAAATATTTCATTATTGATTGTCGGATTAATTAGATTGGTAGCTAGAAGGAAAACCTATATTAATGTTCAAGTGAAGTTGGTTTGTTTTTCTTTTGTTGGATGAAGTACTATGTCTGTCAAGGGAAATTGCTTTGGAATGAATCAGCTGATTTAAAAGGGTTAACTGCATTTCTAGGAGGGAAAACCTATTTATTTCCTTATCTGTCTTGTACCAGAGAAAAGTAAGTCACATGGAAAATATTTTATAACTGTAGCTAAGCTGTTAATTAGAACACTTCTCAGAAACAATGGATTTTGTGAAAAAAATGAAACAAATCTGTGATGGAAGAGAGCAATTCAGAGCAGTTAGGTAATACTTTTTCTTACAGTTTTCTTCATACTATAATTTAGAAGTTTCTGGTTTTAAAGTATGAATGTATTTTAAAAAATTGTGTCTTATTTAGAAAAATACTCAAATCTCTAAGTATAGGAATAAAACTGTAACAGCACAAATATTTTTTTTATCCTCTTCCACTTGAATGTGCACATCCCTAGCACAAAGCATTGTTAAGGCAGGGGTGGTAATAAGCTTAGGTATTGGTGAGGCTTTTTTTTTTTTTTTTAATAATAGTATGTTTCCCAAAAAAACACAGTTCAGGACTTAAACTCCATGAGATCTTTGCTTTAAGCTCTTAGCTGAATTAAAGAGAGGGAAGGAAAATATCTCTTTTTAACTTTTTTGAAACTAAATATCGCAGCTTTTCTATTCCAAGGCATGACATTTAGAAACTTTTGTATAGAAGTGAGATTTTTATTTGGTTAAATACACTGGAGAAAAAATGCTTTGTTTTGGAGGGGACCTCAGACTTGATGGAAATGTTACGTAGGTGAAAAGGAACACATAACTGAGCTAATGATCACCAAAAGTAAGCATTAGTCATGCTAGTGCAGAAACAAATGACCAGCATTTACCTGCCTTTGCCATTGTCATGCAGTACATTCTGTAGGAAAGCTAAGATTGGAATGCATTAATTTCTACCTGAAACATTCCTCCCAATTTTAAATAGCAGCACAGTGGTTTTAGACATTCATTTCTGTTCTGGAAATTTGTCTTTCTTTGAGTTACATAACTGGAATTATTCAATAAAATGCAGGTCCTCTAAAAAATTGGAAACCTAACATGAATAGAGTCATCATATTGTAATGTACTATTATTACTGCAATGCTTTTTCTTTAAAGAATGCCTATGTCTGTAAACCTTGTCCATTTATTTTTCTGGTAGAAGTTGCTTAAAAGGACAATTCCTGCAGTTTGTTAATGAAGATATCAGAGCAAAATTGAACCTTAGTTCTTTATTCTCTGTTATTTCTCTTAAAATAAAATCATGCAAGATAATCCAGTCATTGCCACCCATGTGGATTGGTAATATGAGGAGAGTGTGAACTTCATAGACTTGGTGTGGGAGCTGAGGTACCCTTCCACTTTATGTCAAGCAGCCATCTCCTGCCTGATAGGAGCCAGTCTGGGGGAACTTTGTGGGGAATCATGCAAATCTGTTGGGTTTTACTCATTTTGTGGTGAGCTACTATGCACGTTTGCAAACCAAAATTGAGTGTCCAAAGTGCCAGTTAAGGTCAGTGCACAACATTGTAGCTCAACCCCTCAAAACCAGCTCAACCCCTCAAAAAACAGCTGAAGAGACCTTGATCAGGCAAGGTCTTGATCAGGTAAGACAGCCTTGTTAGTACACCTCTTGATTTTTAAAAAATCAACCAAACCTACAACTAAAACACCTGCCTCCTTCCTCCAATGAACCACAAAGCCAAGGTGGCCTATATATACAGACTGGCAATTATATCTAAGCAGGTAGGTTTTAAAGCACTGTATAGGAAAATATTGGAAATTTTATAAATTCCTAAAAAGAATTAATGCACAATAAATTTAGAGAAAATGGAAAAACTGTTGTGTGAAATACAGTAAAGGAGAACTTTATAAATCAGTACCTTAGTTATTTCACAAATATTGATATTTTTGCATTTGATTATACAATTATTTTAAACATTTCACATTTGCTAGAATCAAAAGAAAAGTAAGTTTCATTTTTTTTCATATTAAAAAACAGGGATTTATTGCAAATATAAGCGCAAATAAGGTACCTGGTCCTAATGAGTTTAATCAGTAAAACCCACTGCTTGTTACTAGGTGGCTACTTGCCATGAAAAGTATGGACTACCAAAAGAATAAAGAAGTTTTCTTTGTTGAACAAGAAGTGTTTTACAAATACTGAGACTAAATTTATGCTGTATTGTCTGTCTACCACATATAGGCACCTAAGATTTCTTACGTCTCTTGATGCAGACACTGCAAATAACAACGTTTCATATGCAGGATGAGGAATCTTCAAACTGAATAAAAGAGCTGAAGAAAATGATGCAGGAAGAGATGAGCATTGGACGTGAATTTTAATTTTTTTTATATATGTGACTGTATTAGAGTTTAGCTAGAAAAATAGCTTCTGGAGGTGCTTGAAGAGTAAGAAAATCAAGCATTTATCTTTATTTAGAAATAACACTGTATTATATATCACACTAATCTTGAAGTACCAAACGTCTCAGTGAATTTATTCTATTAAAGAAAAAGTGCATGTCCTCACTATACACATCTGTTTTCACACCACTCTTGATGGCAATATCAGATCATCATTAATTAAAATAGACACTGAGTTTTTCTTTGTGTATCCATCAAATCATGATTATGGGCTGTGGCAGTCTGAAGGGAATTTGCTTTATACAGACTTGATCTCAAAACCCTCAAACCACTTTACATTTGGGAACTGCCTCCAGAATCAGCATTATGCTGCCTCCCAACTTGGGATATTTTAGCTTTCAAATGAGAATCAAGCTCTTTTTGCCTCTGGTTCTACTGTCCTGCCAGCACAGTGACAGAAGGTGAAGAACATGTTCAAATTCACATGACCATCAAAGTGTGATTTTGGTACTCACAGCTGGTGACTGAAATGCAATGTGGTTTGGTGTTTTGTTTTTTTTTTTTTTCATTTTCCTGAGCATTAGCATCATCTCAAACATAAGTTGTTCCATTTGATTTTACATCATCAAGTTCTGCTGATAGTAATGGATCCTGAAGATGTCTGATTTAAAAGGGTGTCTCACATGCTTTTTGTTACTATGTGTAGGTTGGCTTCCTGTGACATTATGGAGGTATTTTGAAAATCCGATTCCCAATGTTGATGGCACTGGCTTTTTCTCCTTCATGGGCAATGCAAGTCCTCTAGCGATAAATTCAGTAATATGACACATCATATTGCTTTGACAATCTTTCTTTCTATCAGATAAACTATTAAATGAATGAATTGACTTTATGATAACTTTAACAGCTTTTTCAGTCATTGAATTCTCATCACTCAGTAATATACCAATATCATACCAGTACTGCTGCTTCACCTCCCAAAACTACAATCAGTTGGTCATTCTTATCAGTACTCACATTTTTTAACTTACTCACATCACCTGTCCAAGCTCTGTCTTTACAGAAAGAAACATAGAGATTTCTTCTTCTGCTTTAGTCTCCTGCCTTGGAATGAAAATTAAATGCAACACTGCTGTCCTTTCTGACCTTTTCTCATGTTTGGCATGTTCACTTTTGCTGAAGTTATCATCTATGAGTGAGCAAACTTTTTCCCATATAGCTAGTTTCTTCCTTCAAATCTAAATGTGTTGTCTTGCTCTTCAGAAAAATGATGTATTTGCATCTAATTTTACACAGTAGTCTGTCAGCACTTGAAGTAAGAAATACTGTACAACAAATTGTCCATACTGGAGTAATGCAGTTACAGTATAATTAATGCAGCTTTCAGGGCTCTCCTGCCTTCATTAGTGTGTAAGAATATTTTCCATTCATAATTCTCTCCATGACAACTCATAAAATGAACAGTTTGTGCTCATTTTGTGCTAGTACTCGTTTTGTTTCTCAGTCAACCAAGACCATCTGCACATTCCTTTTACTCTAAAGACATATATTTCCATTTCAAATCAACTCGCAGTTTGCTGAATATAGTAACCCAAATACTGTGATTTAAGACCTCTTTAGAGGTCAAATTCTTTAATTTCTTCTTCTAAAATTCCTGTGGACTAGGTACTTCTTCCAACAGTAGACTTACCTAAATTTACCTTTAATTTAGGAGGCCCACAATGATTTACAGTTTTCCATCTTAAGTTGTATGGAGTTTAAAGCACAGACACTGTGTTTCAATTTGCATGATGTTATTGTAAAGAATCTTTCCCCCATTACGACCTCCTTGATCATTATGAACCCCTGCAAGGAGCCCGAAGTCAGGATATTTTAGTCCTGTACATATTCTTTCAAAACCAGAGATCTGTAAAAGATCTTCCTTCATTTTTTTTTTTTTTACTTAGAAGTAGTACTTTTTTTTACTTAGAATGTAGCACACAGAGATAGATGCTGTTAAGATTTGAGAAAAAACAATAATCCATCTCTCTTAGTATGTTTGTAACACCAACATCCAGTGATGGGAATTGTGGAAATAATGGGAATGATGATTACTCTGTAGTAATCTGCTGTAGTAATGTAGTCAGGAGTAGAAAAAAAAAAATACTTCCTTTTGCCTAATTGCAAGAGCACCTCAGCTTTCAAGTTTTGCAATAGCTATATCCACCTAAATCTATTTCAAGTCTTTTATAAAAGTGGGTTTGCTCTCATGTTTTAGCTCCCACAAAACTGTACAAAAATCAAAATTGGTGTTTATGGAAAGTAGTCCAACAAATTAATTGAAATATATACAATTTAACTGCAGATCTATGAATTTCCCTCTGTAGCCTGATTCACAACTAACCACCAGTGTCATGACTTGTCACATATAAACTCTGGGAAATGAGGAAATATAAAATTAACCTTAGCTTTGCCCTTGCTAATATGTGTCTGCTATATATATTTTGCATTCTGTTTTTGCAGATAATATAAAAGAATTATGGAAAAAGCACTTCACTTACTTCACAGAAACACTTTTTCCCTCCCCTTGACTCACTCTATATTTTACCACTCTGCCCTGTCATGCACTGCTTTTGGAGATGGGCTGTCACAGATATTCCCAGTGGCTTTTGCAGAGGTAAAATTGGAGTGAGTTAGACTGAGCTGTCATGTACTGTAATTCTTTATTTTATGCTTTTCAGAAGGCTTAATTTTTCTGAAGTGATACTCTGTAAGAGATACTAGGGAGGGTCTTAAATATGCATTAAAAAGTCATGATTTCTTAATGTAGGAGGGTATAGATGATACCTGATTTCTGCCATGCAGAAATATTGTCTTGACTGAAAACGTTACTTAAACACAGAATCCTCCTACAACAACAGCAAAACAAAAATAAAACCCAACAAAAAAAAATCCACAAAAAAATCCTCACAAAGTAACAGAAACTAAAAGAAAACATAAAAAGGAGAGGCTAAAACTGAACTAGACTGTTGGGTGAGTTGAAGGCACCCTACATACAAATTTCTCACTATGTGAAGAAGGCAAGAAGGATATTTTAGAAAGGTGCTGAGGATGCACCTGCCTCTTCAGCATTACTGTCTCCAGAGAAAGATATATCTAACAGTGTTTTGAAATAAATAAATTGTTTTGTGGTAAATAGCAAAATATTTTGCTGAACTATTTTGTCCTTATGGTACTGTAAATTTCATAATTAAAGCTATCATTTGGCACAGCAACAAGGATCCAGTCATGGTTTGTGTCTGTGGCACACAGTGATAAGCAATGTACTTTGTAGCAGTATGAACACTGGTGAAGATTTTAGTGCGTAAACTTGACTATCTTCCAGAAAAATATCAGAAAAAATGTCCTAAGGCTCCAGATTTTTTCCATGCAGGATGATGAGTGTTGGATTCTTGGACCAATTAGAGAAGTGTCCCATTTTATCTTAGTTTTGCTTTTTCTAATTATGAATTATGTGTAATTTACTATACAATGTTAGGGGTGGGAGGTAAAGCCTTCTTTACACCTGTGGTCCTGAAGATTTCATGTCTTTTATTATTCAAAGAACTGTTGATACAGATGTTATGCTTATAAAATTTCACATGCATATAATGTTTCCTACAATGATCCCCTGTACCTTATGAGCATAATTAAGCCCTGCAGCACACTTAAATGCCATTCTGGTTTCATAAACAGGTAAACTGAGGCATTTCAGTCATGACTTGCTAAAATTACAACAATTTAATGATCAAATTTGCGGTGGAAGCCGGGGGCTATGACTACCAATTGTTTGATCCGAATTGTAAGAACATACAGCCTCCATTAACCCAGACTGACTTCAAGTACAGCCACACTCCTTTATAACTTTGTATTTCAAATGTTTCGCTTGCATTAAGTTGTAATCATTGTTGACATTTATATTTCATCAGCTACCTCAGTTCCAAGTGCCTCTTTCATAGGGTTCAGCTTTGCAAAGACACATGATAAATCCCTTTTAATACACTCACATTTTTCCCTTATTTCTTTCCATTGAGTTTCTACCCTGCTCTACAAAACCTCGTCGCTGTGAACCCACAGTGTGTTAAGCACACTTTAAAATTCTCTGTCCTTTCCTGATGATTTGTTTCATTAGTGACATTCTTCAAATCAAATGTACCTAATCCATGGTTCAGTCTACTAACAGGAAATCGGTTCAGTGAACAGGGTTTTATGTAACAAAAGAAGTGCTCGCTTAGAGAGTACTTTTAATACTTTGTTCATTGAAAAAAATGCTGACTTTCGGATTTTTGTGACTTTAATGCTCTGGTGTTTCAGTTTGGATTTAGCTGTAAATGAAAGCCTTCGAAAACCATATAATCCATCGATCTCATACTTGCTGAAGCACAAGTTTCATGGTACATGAATGTTTTTTATTCTTTTTTTTTTTTCTCTTGTAATTATGTCAGCTTTGTTACTTCCAGGCACAGTTAATTCTGTTGTCTGTTCTGCTGTACAACTCTTAACCAAGGTCCAAATATCTATTTCATTTTATATTTGTTTAATTTTGGAATATTAATTGCAATCCCAGCATCTGAGTACATTTGGTGGGAGTACAGGGTGTCCTCTTTTTTATACGATCAGTACTTCAGTTATTGGGCTGTTGAGGCTTAGGTGTTCTGCTTTGAGATGTGGGTATCTAAAGATGTAGTCATCTATATCTTATTTTATTTTTTGTTTTGTTTTGTTTACACAGACTTTTAACTATTTCCTGAGACATTTCCTGAGACTATTTCCTGTAGTCTGACAGGAATAAGTTTTTATTTCTCTTAGCTTTCCAGAGGGGATATTGATATGAGAAACTACTAGAGTGCAGATCATTAGATTATCTTATCACCTCTCAAATCAGTTTAACTAACTGCACAATTCAGTGTTCTAAAGAAATACCAAAATCTGTTGTCACCACCACCACTGTTTGCTTGGCTGGCTTTCTAAATTGTTAATCTATTGGTAATACTCCAGAGAGAAAGCTGGACTTTTAGATCAGGAAATGAAAACAAGAAAGAGCAATCATGCCAAAGGAACTCCGTCTGGAACTCGTAACAGAGTCTAAGGAATTATTATGCCAATTAAATATGTTTATTTATTTGTTTGTTTCCTCCGGGAAGACTGATTCCACAGTGTTATTGATTAGAATATTTAGGCCCTAAAGTAAAAAAGTCTTTTTACTGAGTCATGATTTTTTTATTCCTTCATTTTTAAATCTACACAAAACACAAATGACCTTGTGTAGCTCAACTATCATTAAATTATTAATATAAATACATTTTATAGTAGAAATATGCATGATGATCAGATTTCAGTAAAAATAGATTTCCAAAGAAAGGAATTGAGAAGAACTCATCCAGAAAGTGAACAAGAATTATATAAAATTATTTTATACTCTTACTAGATAGTTGAGCTTTTTTCTCATGATTTGTCTCATGGATTTTCCATTGTACTTCAGTAGGAAACATTTATTCTTTGAAAATCATAGCCTCCGAATCAGGGGACAGTTGCATATTTTCTGTGTACAGATCCATAGTTTTCAAAGAGAAGTCATTGTGCTACTTTCTGTCCCTACTCCTTGAAGTGATGGTCCAGCTCATCACTCATCTCTGATGATTCTCTTCCTTCCCTCTGGAATACATATTTCATAAAATGAGCTGCATAAATGGCAGTTTTAACTATGCCCTAGATAGGAACGAATTTCCTCCTTATATATTCTGCTCGACCTTCTGAAAGCGAGGACAGAAGCAATCCAGCCATTCATTATCTGTTTTTCAATTCAGAATACACTTTACCTGACTGTAGACTGGTTTGGAAGAAATGAGTTCTCCACATTTCAGTCATCTGTTTTTGCTGTTGTGATGAAATACCAATAGTATCCAGTACGCTATGCGGTTGGCAATAAGATCATTGTATTGATTAAGCAACTCTTCCGTATCTAGGACTACCTGTAAAATAGAACATGACAAATTGGATAGCAGAGAAAGAATGACAAAAGCTCAGTGTAGTATCCACAGTACATTCCAGTACTGATGAATAACTGTTCTTCTTTATTCACAGTTAAAAATAACATTAATATTCTATATATGAAAATTGCTGCCTGTACCATCACTAGAATCAGATGAGACTTATTTGCAAGGCAGAAATCCACAAGTCCTCTTATGAATCCTGTAAGGGAACATGAAACCAGCAGTAAAGAATTTTTTTGTCAGTGGGGAACAGTGAGTTAAACTGTGATATCAGAAATCTTGACATGTATGTCAAAAATGGATTTCCCTTCATGTGTGAAGGTGTTCCTCAGAATAAAGAAAAATACATTAGAAGAAAAAGTAAGATAAGGCTCTTGGTGTTGAGTCTGACAACTGGATACATGCGTGACACTCTGGAAAAGCAGTAGTTGCAGGTACCTACTTTCTGAAGAGACTGTATCCTTGGGGTGACAACTCAGAGTTGTAAATCATAAAATTTCCACCTAAAGTGTCATTAAAGATTGAGCTTCTAGTATTATTTCTGACTTTTACATATAGCAACTGCAATTGTTCATCTGTATTTTACCTGTTTCTAATGTTTCTATTGCATAATAAGACCTAGGAAACCTTAATTCTCTGTAGTTCTACACTAGGTCTTCTTATTGACATTCACTACCTATTGCCAGTCATAACTTTTAGCTCAGATTACTAGAACAACATATTACTATTTTTTTAAAGGGTAGTAGGTGTTATTCCAGGTGTTATTTATCTTGTATTGTAGGTAATGATGATCACATTTGAATTCACAGATTTCCTTTAAAATCTTTACTTGTTAATTTTCTTTTGCCAAAAGTGGTGCTGCTTAATTCAAGAATCCTTATAGAAAATAATATTTCTGTTGCATTTTGGATATGTTGTGATCTCCATCGTAGTCAAATAATCAGAAATGCTTCTAGAAAAAACATTTTTATTTGTGCTAGCAAATAACAAGACCCATTGGAAATGAAATATTATTAGGAGCAAACTGTACCAGAATTTGTTTTCCATTTGACATTCACTCTCAGAGTCTACAGAGTGAGTGGCATTATTTTCTCTGTTCTGCAATTTGAAGGCATAGTATCTCAGTAATAAAAAGAACTCCTGGCCTTGTAATGAAGGTCATTATCTTCCTCTTTCAGTGTGGAAGTAGGACCTGTGATTTTATGCCACTGTGAGATCTTCCCAAGAAAGGGTTTCTTCAACCCAATGTTCTTTGTAGAGGCCAAAATTC